CTTTTTTTTTTTTTTGAGACGCAGTTTTGCTCTTGTTACCCAGGCTGGAGTGCAATGGCGCGATCTCGGCTCACCGCAGCCTCCACCTCCTGGGTTCAGGCAATTCTCCTGCCTCAGCCTCCTGAGAAGCTGGGATTACAGGCACGTGCCACCATGCGCAGCTAATTTTTTGTACTTTTAGTAGAGACGGGGTTTCACCATGTTAACCAGGATGGTCTCGATCTCTTGACCTCGTGATCCACCCGCCTCGGCCTCCTAAAGTGCTGGGATTACAGGCTTGAGCCACCGCGCTGGGCCCATGTGAGTACTTCTTATAGCTATAGTAATTTCCACCAGGGGCACCAATCATTCTGGCTCGTGAGGGTGGCGGGATTAGTGCTACAAGGAGGGTGGTGGTCTCTCTCAGGCAATACGGAACGGGCAGCCATCCTAATGCTCACCTCCCTTTTACGGCTCAAGTCTGAATACTGAGGTCTGCAAGGACGTTATACGGAGACCTACAAGGACATTTGTCTCACATTGCAATGAACAGCCACGGGGCTCTAAATCTCATTTTGCTTAAATCCGTTTCTGTAAGAAATATTATAGCATTTACTCCTTTTCATTGTATAAGACATGTTGAAATATAGCCATTCATTTCTAAATCCTTCTTTTCAGTCACTTTTAATATGCTTTTAAAAAGAGAGAAAAGACTTCTTGGGACTGAAACTTCACATAGTTGGACAAAACCCAAAAGTGAATATTTATTTCAGCAAAATTCATTCAGGGTCTTGATAAAGTCAAGTGTGTGAATATAAAATACACCTTTTCAGCCTGGGATCTTGCCCTTTGCTGCGCTTGGACGGCTGAACTATGAAATGCCGGGTTGACATATTCAGTGCCTCCAGGAATGTGACCCAGAAGAAAGAAAGGAGAATGTGGCTCTCCTAGAGGTGGGCAGGCCGGTCAGCCAACTTGGCTGGGCTCTGGAAGGGTCCAGCCCATGGGCTCCCACCGTATCGCAGGTGACTCTTCCTGCTCGAAGTCCAGGAAACCACAGATTCCCGCACCTTCATTACCGAGGGGTGGGTGAGGGGGCATCTACATTCTCCTTCTCAAGCACAGCTGTCATTTGTTCCAATTTTGTCTCCCCATCCTGAATCCAGCACGAGGAGGTGTCTGCATCTCACAGAGGATGCATTCACAGAGGCTGGGGTGGAAGGATCCATCAGCACCTTCAAATTCCAGCCCTCACTGCCGCCAGGACAGGGCGCCACGTTCTCACGCTCGAAGGACGATCCTGCACCAGCGCTGCATGCACAGGGCTTTCACCTTTTCATTTGCTCACTCATTCCCACCCTGCAGGGAGGCCATCCTGGGAGAACCCAGTATACACATGAGCATCCATGGAAAACAGACCAAGTTAAATGAGACACGTGGTGCTGTCTTACAGGGACACAGCACACAGAGCGGGTGTGGTAGGTAAAAACTCAACAATAAAAGGACCCAGGCAAGGCCCTAAAAGAACTGGAGCCACAAAAAAGTGTCCTAACTCATTAAATCCCATTCATTTGTTCATTCAATAAATACTTTTTCATTTACCATCTGTACAACTTCTTTGATGAGGTCAGATATTTTACTCATTTTTTAATTGGGTTATTTGTTTTCTTATTGTTGGGTTTTAAGGATTTTTTACATTTTTTAAATGCCAGTCCTTTATCTAATAGAGATTTTTTTAAAAATTGAGTAGGGGCCAGGAACAGTGGCTAAAGCCTGTAATCCCAACATTTTGGGAGGCTGAGGCAGGAGGATTGTTTGAGGCCAGGAGTTCAAGACCAGCCTGGGCAATACAGTGAGACCCCATCTCTGCACACACACACACACACAAATTAATTATCATGGCATGATGGCTTACACCTGTAGTTCCAGCCAACTGAGAGGCTGAGGCAGGAGGACTGCTTGACCCCAAGAGGTTACAGCTACAGTGAGCTACAATTGTGCCACCGCACCTCAGCCTGGGCCACTGAGCAAGACAGTGCCTCAAAAGGTGGAAAGAAAGGAAAGAAAGAAAGAGAGAGAAAGAAAGAGGGAGGGAGGGAGGGAGGAAGAAAGGGAGGAAGGAAGGGTATGTCCATATCAAGTGCTGTCCTAGAAAGTGAACCAAACAGAAGTCCTGCCCACATGGAGCACTTTTTTGTGGGATGGGCGCTATTTTATCAAAATGGCCAGTGAAGGTCTCTTTAATAAGACAGCGTTTGAGCAGAAACCAGAAGGAAGGGAAGGAGCAAGCCTCGAGAAAGGGAGGAAAGAGAACTCCAGGAAGAGGTAGGTGCGTGCCAAGGCCCTGGGAGGGAACGCACCCGGCCTGTCTGCAGAAGAGCATGGGAGGAGATGGTTGGTGTAGGGGTGGGTCCTGGTGAAGGACTTAGACTTTAGGCTCTGTGTTAGTTTCCTGTGACTGCTGTAACAAATTGCCACAAACTGGCCAGGCAAGGTGGCTCACGCCTGTAATCCCAGCACTTTGGGAGGCCTCAAGTGTTGCTGAGAACTCACGCAGATGATGGACCACTGGATTCAACAGCACAAAAGCCAGCAGTGACCTTGGCAAGAGCCACTTTTGTGAGGTGGTGTGGATATGAGTAATGTGGACCAGAGCTAGCTGGAGTAGCGTCAGGAGAAGATGGGAGGGGACAGCAGGTGTGGACAACTGTCCTAGAGTTATCTATGAAAGTCATTCTTCTATGAAGAGGCACGGATAAGTGAGGCAGTATTGAGAGAAAGATGGGGGTATCAGGAGAGAATGTTTTACTACACCATTTTATTTATTTACTTGTTTTGCTCCTGTTGCCCAAGCTGGAGTGCAGTAACAGATCTCGGCTCACTGCAACCTCTGCCTCCTGGGTTCAAGCCATTCTCCCGCCTCAACCTCCTGAGTAGTTGGGATGACAGGCATGCACCACCACACCCAGCTAATTTTTGTATTGTCAGTAGAGACGGGGGTTTCACCATGTTGGCCAGGCTGGTCTTGAACTCCCAACCTCAGGTGATCCGCCCACCTCGGCCTCCCACAGTGCTGGAATTACAGGTGTAAGCCACAGCACCCAGCGTCTCTTCCTCATTTTTTTTTTTTTTTTTTTTTTGAGGCACAGTTTTGCTCTTGTTGCCCAGGCTGGAGTGCAATGGCGTGATCTTGGCTCGCTGCAACTTCCGCCTCCTGGGTTCAAGCGATTCTCCTCCTCTGCTTCCTCGGTAGCTGGGATTACAGGCACTAGCCACCATGCCCAGCTACATTTTTGTAGTTTTAGTGGAGACGGGGTTTCTCCATGTAGGCCAAGCTGGTCTCGAACTCCTGACCTCAAGTGATCTGCCCTCCTCGGCCTCCCAAAATGCTGGGATTTCAGGCGTGAGCCACCACACTCAAACCTGGGTGACAGAGTGAGACTCTGTCTCAAAGAAAAAAAAAAAGACATGAACTGAAGAGGACAAAGCAGAGTCTTAGATCCACAGGCTCACCACTGTGGGCTTAGATGTTAAAATCATCAGAGGCTGTCACTGGCCCACACTAGAAATGTCACTCGTTTGTGCCCCTCAGTTGTGCCTTCATGAATGTTCACTCATCGCTGTCCACCAGAGACTTAGTCTCTACATTAGGTACAAGCCGAAACTTACTGTGTATTAAGCAGGTTTACTTCCAGATGCTTCATCTGGGGCCATTTAAGCTCTTTGGACTTTGGTTTTCTAACTCATGAGATGACAATAGTAGTTTCTAATTTGGCTGTTATGAGGTATAAATGAAAAAAAATGTATAGGCAAAGGATGGTGGGGAACGCAGGCACCAAACACACAGTACAACTGTCTGGTAAACAGTAAAGTCTCAATAAATGCCAGCTGTCATTACCATCATGTCTGGCATTGAACATCTCCTGGGAATCAGCCGCCTCTCTCCTTGAACCCTCCCTAGGGCCAGTGGGGCTTTCAGCAGAGTAGAGGGGCAACTCCTATCTTGCAAGGATCAGCGAGAGGCGGGGACAAGCCGCCCTCTCTCATCACTTCTCCAAGGGGGTGGTTGCTGAGGCTCTGGAAAGGAATTGGCAGAGCTCAGACCCCCTTAAGGCTACTGTGCTGCAAGCATGTGGGACTTCATTTCAAGCTTGATGCACATTCTTTGCTGAGCAGTTGCCAAGGAACGAGGTAATCTTGTGACAAATACTGCCTGATGCTGTCAGTTTGCTGGTCGAAAGGGTTTTAGGTGGTGTCAAATTGTATTACTAGCATTCCTGGTCTCCGTGAATGAATCATGTAAGAAGACAAGTTATGTCAAAGGACAAAACCACAGACCCAGATGGGCACCACGCATATAACAGGCCCTTGGTTTCCTTTTGATATTGACTCAAAGACGGACTGGATTATAAAAAGAATAACAGCAAGACCACATGCTTAAGCTGATCAGTAGTCTAACACTGGCTAGATGACGTTTGTTGATAAAATTGATTTCTTGGGAAATCCTGAGCAAGCTCCTGGAGGTGACTCTGTGGTCCTACCGTCACTAGCTTTGACCTCGGATGAGTCAGCGAGTGCATGAAGCGAACACACACAGCATGGTGACGGAGCAGGCACCAGGGACCACCTGCCTCCCCTGTCACAGATGGCTTACAAATAAGCTACTCACATACTTCCTAAGATCTGCTGTATCCAAACAGACCAAGCTCAGAGAGGCTTCTGAGGCAGACAGGGGCAGGGAGAGAGGATGGTTCTTCTCACTGGGTATTTAAGGAGTGTAGTGTTGGGGGTGAGTGACTTTTGGGTTAAATTCTGCTGATTATATGAAGCAATGGAATAACTACCACTGCCAATAGAGTATTCATATTGCAGGTCAATAAGAATTTCTGATACTGAAGTAGTTCCCTAGAGAGCTACTATGATCACATGGCTTGGTTAACTTTTTCTTATAAGTCTGAGCATGAATTTCACACACAAAGCCATACATTGACAAAGACAGAATGTTTCTGAAATAAAATCACACCATCTTATTGCATACACTACATCACCCAAGGTCAAAACTCTTTCATAGAGACATTTAAAACTATAACTGAGTAAAAAGGAAAATAGATGCAAATTTGCTTTTACAAAATTTGAAAATAAAAGAGTAAGGCAGAAGATGCAGTCAGCTACATGCACTTTAGAGAACGGGGCTTTGCTATCAGGTCTGGGACCCCACGCCCCGGGCAAGACTGCCTGGCAGCAAGCGGGACCCATACCCATGCCCCCTCCACTTGCTCCCAGGGTTCGTCTTTACAGGATGGTGGGGAGCACAGGCACCAAGGCAGGAAGGCCCGAGCAGGGAGATGCCCCACGCCCTCCACTTTCTCTCAGTGCGTACACACCAAGTTCCCTTTAACCAGGGGAACAGGACCCTAGGCACCAAAAGTCAAGCATGAGGAAACGTCTGGGCCACTTCTGGTTGTCACAGGCGGTCTGACAGGCGTCTCGTGGATGCTAAAGTGCCAGAGTTTTCAGGCTACTTGGATGGTTTACAGTGATGATGAGTTAGTCTTTAAACTCAAAGGCATCCTAGAAACCCAGGATGATGGCAACCCCGTTCATCCCACGGTTGGTCACTGAGCTGCCTATGAAGCTGTGCCTACAGTCATACCTGCATCCACAGGGGGACATCATCACCCTTTACGGAATCTAGATTTGTTTTCAGGATCTATCCTGATGAAGGAGACTTGAGAAGATCTATTCTGATGAAGGAAACTACAGACGAATTTGTTTCAAGGTTGGATGAGTTTGCTACTCAACTTCCATCACAGTTGTAGCTTTCCCTCCCAGAATACAAGCCCTGACAGGCATCAGCTAGGAGGCAAACTTCATCTTCAAGACTGGGAGACGCCTGGCTACGGTTAGACCCTGCAGCAGGGTTAGAGAAGTCTCTCCAGCAAGGCTGGGAGTCCGGCTTCCAATAGATCTACAAAGAGGGCCCAGAGAAAAAGGCACGCTGAGTGGCTGGCGGCCTCTAGTGGTCACTGCTGGTCATCAGCTTTCCTCCAATACAACCAGTTGTCATGAGAATACAAAACAATCAGGAAGAAAAAGAAGGTTTAGTATTTTGTCAGAGAAAACCCTCACATACTAAATAGCTGACATGAAACAAAAATGATTTACACATTTTCTTCTGACTATGCATTTATTAAGTTCTAAAACCTTGAATAACTGCCATTTAAAAAATTCACACTAAAAGAAAACTAGATTTAACATCTTTTCAGAAGCGTCATCAGCTGGTGAACTTCATCTTGGTCTCCACTTTATGTCTTTTACTCCATGAAAATGTCTTTTCAAAGCAGTGTTATCCGCCCATGGAGAGTTTAAACAGGCGTCGTCATCATTTTCTTCTAATCTCTGGAAATAAATATGTTTTACTCAGGCAGGCATTTCAGGAAAGTGTTTTGCACATAAAGAGACTGAAGAAAGAGTTCAAGACTGACCTCCCCTCGCCCTGCCTTCTAGAAGCAGGACACGTCCAAATCTAATGCTGGGGGACACCTGACAGAACCCTGACAACCCTGCAGACAGAAGCTCTAGAAAGACTCCTCCCGGCACCCTGTAGAGCTCGCCTCTCCTCACCAGCCCCAGGTAAGGCATGCAGGCTATGCCTGGGCGCCAGCTCTGTGAAGAGCCCACCTGCCCCCGCTACCTTGAGCTCTTCTTGCCTCCTGTGATAGTACAGCATCAGCTGCTTCTGCTCCTCGCTGCTGATGATGGGCTCTCGGGCTGGAGCGCCGTGTCCTCTCTGCAAAGAGCAGAGCAGAGCAAATTCTGGATTAAGGTGTTCTTACAGTGACAATCCTTAAAGTTACAACAAATGTTTTACTATTGCCTTTGCCAACTACTAAAAATAAACAGGTCCCACGTCTGCTCAGCTGACATGAATCATCAAGGGAAGGCTTGCTCTTGTGCAGCTCTGAGCCCTGGACTCTCACTGTGTGGAGACCAAAGGCTGCACGAAGCCATCTCTGTCTCCGTCATTCCCAAGGCAGACACTGCAGGCAGGTCCACTGGGAAAGGGAGGATGCTCAGAGCCACAGACCCTGGATCTTCATAGGGTGGATGGCCCCATTTCCCCAAAATCACAGCCTGGTGACGTAGGAGGCACCGCAGGTAGACAGAGCTACATGATGTCCTTCAAAGGTCTCCGGCCTTTCCTCCTCCTCCCATACAGAGCATCCGCAGTTTGAAAAAGCCTGGAATCAGTGTGGGGCTAAATTTTACATTTCAAGGAAAATTTTTGTTTACTTGCAGCCCTATATTTAAGGTTGAAATTAACATAGTATATTTCCTCTCCTCCACATATTAAAACAAACTCTAGATATTGCCAATCAATCCATATTTTCCTCTAGTTTTTGCTGGTGTACAGAAAGAAGATATTTTCAGTTTAAATTCGAGCCAATAGGATTAAATAGTTGTACCAGTAGTTTAAATCTTTCAGATTCACTGCACATTTTTATCAGTTTGAAAGGAAATAACAAAAAATACTGACGTGTTAAAGCAAAAGCACTTACTTGCTGAATCTTGGCGATAATTTTGGTTTTTTCATTTTTCCCCACGTAGTCTGAAAGCTTCTTTGTTCTTCTCAGCTCCTTGGCTGCCCACCATAGCTGCGCCTCTGACTCTTTAATGACGCTGAGCCCTGCCTGGGGCCAATGGTAAGAACTGGCTTTACTGTGTGCTCCCACCTGGGGGGCAGAGCCCAGCTGAGCCATTTTCAGCAGGGGGCAGGGGACAGATTTCTCCCTGCGCTCACCATGGAAGGGCCTGACTTCCCCACCCACTCAAAGTCCTGGCTGATATCAGTACCTTCCCTGTTACGTTTTCATTTATGCCCTGACTCAGTTAACTTCCTCCACTGGGCAACAAGGAAATCATATCTTTTTTGCACCTTGATCTACACAGTTCGTCTTGGATCTGTAGGCCACTGCCAAGGAAGGACACTGGCATCATGCTGGGTGTTTAAATCGAGATAGAATAGGGCTGCCTGTGTACTTCTGCGTATTCCATTTATTTAAGATGGCTTAGACAAAGAATACTGTCCAACAGGATAAGAAGTGAGGAAACCCGAGGAAAATGGAACATAAGGGTCAGAAAATAACATGAAGCAATAGGTAAGACTAGAAACACAAACTTCCACGCAAAGGGATGGAGGCATGTGGATAGAAATAGGAAGAAATTAGGTAGCTGGCTTCTTAGTGGCCAAAGACAGCAGAAACATTTTCAGTTACTCCTGACGGGCAGCCTCACCAACTGTGTCCTCGCCTCCTGTGTATGGGGACCAAAGCCCTCACCCATGAGTACCACACTGTCAGGGGCCACTCCTGAATTCAGAACTCTGCTCTGAAGCAGGTCACAGCAAACCTGAAAGCTGTGTAGGGAGCAACACACTACATCCGGAAGAGGGGCATCTAATCCGAAGGGCTTTGGGAGGGCCATGAACTCACCCTCTGGAGTGCCCACCCAAGAACTACATACTTGCGTTCCCGACAAATCTTCCTTATTTTCAAACTCCATCTGGATGGGATCATACGGTGGCAACCCCATGGGATAAACAATCATCACTGCGCCTCGAAGCTGGTCCAAGGCATCCTTCACCATCTCCATGGTAACACAGACACCGGCTTCCACTTGTTTCTACAAGTAGAAAGTCATTGTTATCACAGTGTGGCTAATAAATACAGTAAACTCGACGAAGATCTTGTACAACACCCTTGCCAGAGACTTCCAGAGCAACAAAAAGAAATCAAACAGTTCTTGCTCCCAAAGTGACTACCACCTATTTTAGGGACTGAGCCAAGCACACCGCAGCCCACATTATAAAGCACAGATGGGAGCAAGGATCAGGAGATGCGGCAGAGGGAGCAGGCACTGCAGGTGGGGCTCGGCATGCAGACAGACTGAAGGGGTGGAGACGTCAGCAGGGTGCTTCAGGACAAGCTGAAACAAAGAAAAGCAGGCGCCAGCCCCTTGGCTGGGGCAGGAAGGAGAGGAGAAGATGAGGCCAGCTTCAGCTGGCTGAGCTGGAGTTTGTTTTTGAATGGTCACAAAAGCCAGGCTGAGGAGTTCACATTTCCTCTGTTAGGCCAGGGCAGTGACTGCCTTTTCTGGGAAGGAGTGGTAATGCTGAGAGATTTATCTTGTAGTTGGTATAGAACAGACCTAGTTGTCAGAGTACGGTGGCTCATGCCTTACATAATCCCAGCATTTTGGGAGGCTGAGGTGGGCGAATCACCTGAGGTCAGCAGTTTGAGACCAGCCCGGCCAACATGGCGAAACCCGGTCTCTACTAAAAATACAATTAGCTGGATGTGGTGGCAGGCACCTGTAATCCCAGCTACTCAGGAGGCTGAGGCAGGAGAACTGCTTGAACCCGGAAGGTGGAGGTTAGGTGAACCGAAATCACACCACTGGACTCCAGCCTGAGCAACAGAGCAAGACTCTGTCTCAAAAAAAAAAAAAAAAAAAAAAAAAAAAAGGAAGAGAAAAAAAGAACAGACCTAACTGGAGGGATACCAGGTAGTAGGCTCTGAAGAGCACGGAGGACGGTGTGATAAATAACAAATATATCTGGCTTTGTTACTCAGTTCCAGGCACAGAGCTCCAAAACTCTTGGAATTTCCTGAGTGACAGGAGTGTCTGGTTATTTATAATGAGCCCCTTCTCACCATACCCGAGTTTGTGCTAATACAGTAACTTGGTTTCAAGAAAGGGGCTGGCCATGCCAGGGAGACCAAGCACGTGATTAGAGGGTTGGAGCTTTCAGCCTCAGCCGCTTCCTCCACTTCCAGGGGCTAGAGGTTGGCATCAAACACGTGGCCAGTACTTTAACCACTCATGCCTACTGAACAAAACATCCACAAAAATCCTGGACGTTATGGCTCAGTGAAGCTTCCTGATTGGTGAAGACGCTGATGTGCGCTGGATGATGCACATCAGTGGGGGTGTTGTGGGAAGCTCCAATTTTGCAGTCAAGCTGGACACATGTATGGCTGGCCTGGGGACCTCATTTGCAGCTGGCATCTGAAATAAGGGGTCTTGCTGGTGACCTTGCTCTTTAACTCCTAGGGTCTGATGCTAACTCCAGGCAGTCAGTGTCAGAATTGAAGGATTGGCCCTTGACCTGTGGGGTCTGCACTATGTCTGAGCAGTTAGTGTCAGAATGGAATTGAATTGACTGTCAGGACCCTGGTGGGCATCCAAATGCAAAAGGCTACAGGGGAGCCTTAAAGAAAGCCAGAGCTGTGGAGATGAAAGGAGGAGGTGGATTTAAGAGGCATCATGGAAGCAGACAGTACAGGACCCCACTTCAAACCCAGGTTTGACAGAATGAGGAAGTGTTGAAGATGACACTGAGGATTTGAGACACTGTAGTTCTCTTACTGGAAACAGAGAAGCTCGTAGGAGGTGCTGATTCTCAGGGACAAAACTCAGGGGGAGAGAAGGGAGGAAGCAAAGAGCTCATTTCTAGAAAACTGGACTTCAAAGTGCTGACCAGTGTTCAGATATAACCATCTCACAACCAGCTGGAAATTCAGGTTGCAAGTGAAGCAAGATGTCAGGGGAAAGGATGGAAGCTTCAGTTATCCGCAGAGGGTGGAATTTGCATTTGGCAGAGTAGATAAGATGCCAAGGGAGGAGCAAGAAAAATTAATAAAATAAAAAGAATAATAATAATATTAAAAAAAAAGATGCCAAGGGAGGAAGAGGGCAAAGGATAAAGAGTACTTTGAGAAGTACACAGGCAAAGGGAAGAAGTGAGGTGACCCAGAGAGGAGTTCTACATACAAAGTATATGTGGCAAAAGGTGCAGAACAATGGCAGACCACTGTTTCCTTGCCATGGCCTCAGAAGTGCTCACATGCCCAGATGCCATCACCACGCAAACACTAGACTCAACCACGGCTTTTCCTGTAGTGCTTCATAGAGCCTTTTTACATAGAGCCTTCACTATACTAACAGGCACAGAGCTTCAGGGCAGCCTTTGCTGAGGCTCTTCAAAGATTAGTCAAGAGCTTGATGAGTTTGAGAAATATTGGTTTAAAAAAAAATAACAGTTCAGCTGGGCACGGTGGCTCATGCCTATAATCCCAGCACTCTGGGAGGCTGAGGCAAGCAGATCACCTGAGGTCAGGACTTCAAGACCAGCCAGACCAACATAGTGAAATCCCGTCTGCACTAAAAAATATACAAAATTAGCTGGGCGTGGTGGCACATGCCTGTAATCTGAGTAGCTGTAATCCAGCTACTCGGGAGGCAGAGGCAGGAGAATTGCTTGAGCCTGGGAGGCGGAGGTTGTGGTGAGCCGAGATCACGCCATTGCACTCCAGCCTGGGCAACAAGAGTGAAATTCTGTCTCAAACAAATAAAATAAGAGTTTTGCTGAGCAAGTCAGGAGAAGCAGAAAGAAAAGTGGTTATCAATTGAGAGACGTGCAGTTGAGGGTGCTAGCAACTAATATCACCAACACACAAATACAAGCAACAGATACAGATAGCACTTCTTTTAATAGCCTTAAATTCTTTTCCTCCAGATACACATTATCTATACATCAATGGTATAAATGTATGTTTCTCCCTCTATAAAATAGCCTTTATATAAATACTGACGATGATTACAAAAACTGATTTATATCAAATACATACTAAGTCAATCAAGCATCTGGAGAGCTACTCTATAGCCTCTACTTAGCTTTAAGTTCTTCTGAAAGGTAAAAGAAATGAAATCAACATTTGTATTACACACATTTGTATTACACATGAACCTACATTTACACAAGCCAACAAAAATGTGTGTTTGCCTGTAGGAACTGAGAGGACTCTGGGCAACTGTCAGGATTATGAAAGGAAAAGCTGCGGCCTACCCCAAATATGCTCGTTTCCTTTGCCTCGGGAAGGCTGAAAGGGAAGCTGGCTGAGAGGTAACTCTGGAAGCCACAGCTGGAGTTTTATCTCAAAAGACAAGCTTTAGAGCATCATTTAAAAAAGCCAACCTTAGATATGATTGCTTTGGCTTCTTCTATAGTCTTCTTTAACACTTGCTTCATTTTCTCATTTGGAGCTATGAAGATAAAAAGGAGAGTGGGAGAGACAGAGCTGTCAAATACATAGCCTCTTTAAAACTCTTCTGAAATATCTCAGTCCCTTCTGTCTGAGTCAGGGGTAAGTGAACTGAGAGAGTGCAAGTGTAGAATTTAGGGAAGAGAGGCAAAAAACTTGGCTGCGGGAAATTAGGTGAAGATCTCTTCCCAACAGCAGAGACCTGGAGTGTGCTTTCTGCAAAGTGGCAAAGGCTACAAAAAACCAGAAACGCATGTCGTTGGATGAACAGGGTCAGTGAATTTTTTCTGGAAAGGGACAGATAGTAAAATATTCTAGGCTTTGCAGGCTACACAGTCTTGTTGGGTGTAGTTACTCAGCTCTACCACAGCAGCACAAGAGGAGACAGTACTTAAGTGAATGGGGTGGCTGCATCCCCATACAATTTTATTTACATGAAAAGGCAACTGGCTGAATTTGGCTTGTAGCCTATAATTTGCTGACCCCTAGAGCAGGAAGAAATAATAACTTGAAAGCTTAGAAACAAACAAACAAAAAAAATGAAGATGGAATGCCCAAATATAGGGAAAACGGGGCAAGTTGAAAGCATATATTCCTAATAAATAACACAATTAGACATTGAAAATATTAGAAACACAAGATTGTATTAGAATAGAAGTGGTTAGGCCAGGCGCAGTGGCTCACGCTTATAATCCTAGCACTTTGGGAAGCCAAAGTGGGTGCATCACCTGAGGTCAGGAGTTCTAGACCAGCCTGGCCAACATGGTGAAATCCCACCTCTACTAAAAATACAAAAATTAGCTGGGCGAGGTGGCAGGTGCCTGCAATACCAGCTACTCTGGAGGCTGAGGCAAGAGAATTCCTTGAATCCAGGAGGCAGAGGTTGCAGTGAGCTGAGACTATGCTACTGTACTCCAGCCTGGACCACAGAGTGAGGCTCCGTCTCAAACAAAACAAAACAAAAACATACTGGTTTAAGGATGAATACTGAACTGTTAACTGGCTCTCATATTCTTTTTTCTTCATTGATATAATTCCTTCTGAAAATTAGACTCTCTCTAGATTGAGAATGAGTTTAGGTAAGAAAGATATGGAAGACAACCATTTTTCAGGTTAACATTCAAAGGAAATAATACTAGGAATTCCTACTATCCCTGGTATTTTAAAAACTATATTTTTGAGCTTGTAAAGGACTTACAGGGATCCTGTCCTGCTCCTAACAGTGTTTTAGGGCTGATCAATTACAGCTTTTTAAATGGAGCTTTCAGCGCAGGTTAAAAAGAATAAGCTATCAAAAAGGATTATTATCAATTCCACATGATCAGCCAAATACTGAAAGGAGAAGAATTTCTTCAGTGTTTTGCCACGTACTAAAGTGCTCGGTCCCAGAGAGAGGCAGGTCCTTGATGGGTGAAGTCCCTGTGCTGACATTCCTTCCCTTTCCTCTTTCACACAGTATCTCTAAAGATACCCTGACCTCTGCAAACAGTAACAAAACATAACGTTGAATACATTTCAGTAAGTATCTGCCAACAATTATTAGGTTGAACCATATGAAGTTGCCAATACTCCACCATTTTTGACCTACAGAAGGGAAAGGGTCATTTCATCTGGTTCATCGAATATATTTAAAAGCGAGCTGCAACTTATTAAGAGCAAGACAAAACTTCCTTTATCTACCTAATTCATCCTAGATTAGAGTTTTACCACAGGAGCCACAGAGTGCAGTATTTTGTAAGTCTATAGAGAAATTATGAGGTCGATTTTTGAACGAAAAGAACTGCTTTCTCACACCTGTAATCCCAACACTTTGGGAGGCTGAGGAGGGCAGATCACTTGAGGTCAGGAGTTTGAGACCAGCCTGGCCAACACAGTGAAACCCTGTCTCTACTAAAAATACAAAAATTAGCCAGGCATGGTGGCGCATGCCTCTAGTCCCAGCTACTCAGGAGGCTGAGGCAGGAGAATTGCTTGAACCTGAAAGGAGATTGCAGTGAGCCGAGATCACACCACTAGTGCAAGACTCCATCTCAAAAAAAAAAAAGAAAAAAAGGAACTGTTTTCATACTTATGGACATATCAAGCATGCACACAGAAGAGAAATGCTCACTTACCTTGTCCATTCCTTCGTCCAATATCATCCTTTTTAAATACAGCACCGCCGCTGGGTACACATTTTTCACCCCACTCATCCTTTAATTTCAACTCTTCAATCTGATCATCGGTCAGTCCTTGCATATTAGGAGGGAGAAAAATGCCATGTTCTGCTAATTCTTCCATTTCTTAAAAATAAGCAAAAGACAGTATCACAGTCATCATCATAACATCTCATACCCCATTGGAATGTAGGCTGCCAAGGACCGGGGGTCTTGCCCATCTGGCTCACTATTTTGTGGAAAAAACATTTATATGTCACCTGGCCTGGACCCTTGACAAGGAGTCACTGATCCACCCATCCTCAGCCAACAGCACAGGGAGCTCGGGAACTCGTCACCTGTCCCAGGCAGTCAGCCTGTAGATTCTGTGCTCCAAACATTTGTGCTATCTTATGCTTCCTGGAACTCAGGAGGGGCAAAATTACTACTCATTGAACACCTGAATATATATTCACATGGGTTTTATAGTTTTCCAAATGCGTTGACATGGACTATCTCATTTAATTTAAACTTGTACATTAGGCAAAGCAGTTATGAACTTCCCCCCACATTCCTTACTTTACGATTGTATCATGTCAGGCTTGCTCAGATGACACAGCTGCAGCTGATGTCTTTTTTTTTTTTTTTTGTCTCAAACTCCTGGCCTCAAGTGATCCACCCACCTCAGCCTTCCAAAGTGCTGGGATTACAGGCATGAGCCACTGAACCTGGCCTGAGACCTTCTATAAAACTTCATGTCAAGACTTCATAAATAATTTATACACATCAGTGGGGAAGATTTAAAGCAGCTTACATCCCTCAAAGGTAGCAGAGACAGGACAAGGGACTTGGGTTTCTAGTATCATGTTCACTATTCAAAAACATAGCTATTTTTCCTAATCCTTATATTTTCACCCCAAAACCAGTCCACATTTTAACCTTGCAAAATCACCTTCCTTCCTCCCTCTCTTCTTCCCTCCTTCCTGTGAAGGAGGCACCTGGATCTAGGTGTTCCCATAACACTGTGTGAGGACATCACCTGACCTGAAAGAACACATTATGAACAAATGGTATCACTGAATGGGATGTTTCTTGTCTCTCTCCCCGTTGCAGTCTAAGCTACTTATTTCTTAAAAATAAAGGGAGGTTAGACAACATCTATCACAGTCATCATTATAACACCTCATACCCCATTGGAATGTAAGCTTCCAGGGGTCAGGGATCTTGCCCATCCGGCTCACTATCTTATGGAACAAACATTTATATGCCACTTGCGATGTGCCTGGACCTCTGACATGGGGGCACGGGACTGGTCTTATTGATCCTTGTCTTTTTTTTCTCTGAGACAGGGCCTTGCTCTGTCACCCAGGCAGGAGTGCAGTGGCGCAATCTCAGCTCACTATAGCCTCCACCTCCTGGGTTCAAGCCATTCTCATGCTTCAGCCTCCTGAGTAGCTGGGACTACAGGCACGTGCTAGCATGCCAAGCTCTGTTTTATATTTTTGGTAGAGACAGGGTTTCACTATGTTGCCCAGGCTGATCTAGAGCTCCTAAGCTCAAGGGATCTGCCTGCCTCAGCCTTTCAAAGTGTTAGGATTACCTGTGTGAGCCACGGTGCCTGGCCCCATCCTTATCTTCTGAAGGCTGAGCACTAGTGCCTGCCTGAGTCACAGCTGACACTGGTGACCGCAGAATAATTCTAAGTTCACTAATGTGACTCTTAGCATTCAGCACATTTATATGTTTATAATGTTCTAGAAAAAGAAGACGAATTCCTTTTCTCCGCAAATGCTTTAACTTAAAAATAACATTTAATATTGCATTTGTGCTGCAAGCTCAATTAAGAAACTACACATAAGTTTCATGAAAAGAACCATGACCCTCAAGAATTTCTCCACGGTGCAAAAATTACATATTCATGCAATGTAATAAATACATTTAATAATAAATCACATATTCATGTAATTTAATAAGTCACATAAATAAATGTACTATTTATTACAAATAGCTGTTTATATTTTCTATATGTACATAATGACAGTTAAATAAACACTTAGTAATATCCTAGACCGCATCAGGAAGCATCATCCTGTCAAGTTCAAAAGCTATCCGTTTAATGCAGTAGCTACTCGCTGCACTTGGTGATTTAAATTTATTTAAATTAATAAAAATGAGCTAAGCACGGTGGCTCACATCTGTAATCCCAGCACTTTTCGATTAAGGGGGAGGAGATCATCTGAGGTCAGGAGTTCGAGACCAACCTGGCCAACTTGGTAAAACCGTCTCTACTAAAGATAGAAAAACCAGCTGGGCGTGGTGGCAGGAGCCTGTAATCCCAGGTACATGGGAGCTGAGGCAGGAGAAATGGCTTCAACCCGGAGGCGAAGGTTGCAGTGAGCTGAGATTGCGCCACTGCACTCCAGCCTGGGCGACAGAGACACTGTCACCACACACACACACATATTTAATTAAAACGAAATGTAAAATTCAGTTGCCTGGCCGCAGTAGCCACATTCCAAATGCTCGATGGCCACTCGTGGCCGGCGGCTGCCCAGTGGGATAGCACAGACGGAGGCCCTTCCACTTCGGGGAGGTTCTGCGGGACAGCGGTGCCCTGAACCTGCGCGGGGGAGGGAGATGGCGCCGCAACGCCAGCAACAGGCCATTTCTAGGGCGAGGAAAGATCGCCAAGGCTGCTTCAACTGTAAGGGGCCGTCCCAAAGCCAAGTGGCTCGCTGCTTTACCACGAACGACGCAAAATAGGAAATTCAGCTTTTAAAAGCCCACCCAGTTCTCATCGCACCTCTCACACTGGTTAATTGCACTCAATGCTCTTCAGCCAGTCCTTTCGGCTCCCTCCTCCCTCCCCAGCCCGTTTCCACTTATTAGCAGCACCCCAAATGCTGGCTCCGAGAGGCACTTGGGCCCGCCTCCCCGCCGGGGGTGCCAGACCGGCCGGACCTTCTCCGGTTCCTTATTCATCTCCGGTTAACCCCGGCGTCCCGTTTCACCCCCGGCTGCTGCAAATCTCTTCTACAATCTTCACAAACCTGACCCCTCGTCCTAGCCTGCCCCTCTTTCTCCGTCCCACGCCCGTCTCTCGGTCTGTCTCGGGCCGGGCGCGCCCGCGGGCCGCACCTGAGCAGAGGCGCTGCACCTTGAGTCGCCCATTGTAGACCCGGGCCACTTGCACCGTGAGCTCCTCCAGCTCGGTGCTCCCAGGCGCCTGCAGCAGGAATTGGCTGTCGTCGCCCCGCTTCACGTGCAGCAGAACCATGGCTGTCCCGCAGCGGCGCTGAGGCGGTGAGAAGGGCCGAGTTACGTGGCCCGCGGGTCCGGCCGGCCGAGGGTCGCTGGGTCGCGAGCAGCCACGACGCACTAACCGCCGCTCAGAGGCCGGAACCTCAGGCTCCTGCGTCCGCGGTGTGCGAGGGAAACTGCACTCACGCCCGGAAGTAGCTGTTGCTAGGAGCAACAGTGAAACAGAGAGGAGCTGCCAGTTCAAGCTCTGAACCCGAATGGGGAAGGCTGGGGTGTGCGGAGGCCCAGCAATCTACGCCCGTACGTAGCTACTGCCGGGGCAACTATCCATACAGCCCGAGAGGGCAGCCGATTCTGACCGGACCGGCTGAACGGGATTAGCGGAGCCCCCTCCCGGAAGTGGCTGTTGTCGGGGCAACTTTCCAAACACAGACCAAGCCGCTGAAGGGGAGGGCTGACCGCCCAATCGATTGGTCTGGGGCCCAAGATTCCACTCAGGGAGATACGTGGGCTGAGCTTGAGAGTTACTAGATGGGGAATGGGAGGGACGGCGGGCACCACAGGCTTCGAATTCCGCAGCTGCCCCCCCCGCCCAACCGCTCCACATCAAATGTCCCTTCCGCCGCCCTCGGTCTCCACTTCCGGCAACGCCTCCACGCTGCTTCCGGCCTAGGAAAGTTAGGCGGCGGCAACTTGGGACTCTGTCGCGCTGTTTGCTGCTGTTTGCGTGAGTCTGCTTTTCAGGACGGAGGGGCCAGGGCGAGTGTCTGCACTTCTTCGTTCAGGCTGATTTGGATGGCGAAGCTAGGGTAGCTGCAGCACCTCCTTCCAGAGCGACCCTCTCCAAAATATCCAGCTATCCGCTAGCGGTCTCTTGTTGAAGGCAATCGGCGTCGGTCGCTCTTTCTTCCGGGCGCCTCAGATCGAGTCACTGCTCCTATGGAACTTATATTTTAGTGTGACAAAGAGAAAACAAAAATAAATGGACAGGCCGGGCGTTGTGGCTCACGCCTGTAATCCCAGCGCTTTGGAAAGCCGAGGCGAGCGGATCACCTGAGGTGAACATGGTCAACATGGTGAAACACCGTCTGTACTAAAAACACAAAAATTAGCCGAACGTAGTGGCGCGTACCTGTAATTTCAGCTACTAGGGAGTCTGAGGTAGGAGAATCGCTTGAACCCGGGAGGTTGCAGTGAGCCGAGATCGTGCCACTACACTGGGCGACAGAGTGAGACTGTGTCTCAAAAATAATAAATAAATAAACGGACAATACAAATGCAAACACAGGTCTAAAGAAAACTAAACAGGTTGATGGACTTCTTAGATTGGATGGTCAGGGAATGCCTTAAGGGGTGCTAATTGGCAGAGTCCTTAGAACGACGAGTCTAGGCGAGATAGTGCAAGGCTTCTACTCGTTATCTCGTGGTTCTTGGAGGGGAGCAGTGCTGAGTAAATATTGATTTGACTGTTACAAGCCCTGCTACTATTTCCTCTTCCTTAAGCTTTGAAACTTTGGTCTTTTTGGTTGAAACTGCATCCTGGGGAGTGTGTTGGGGAGGGAGTGTGTGGGGAGAAAGTGTATGACCGTAGGCCCGGAAATGCCCAAAGCCAATCCGGGCTTCATAGGAAGATTGATAGACTGATAGTGGACAGAAGGGGGATGGAGCCTTGGGAGAGGGGAAGATGTGTTATTATTTCTAGTACTGTTGAAGCAGCGATCACCCAAATCCTCGAACAGGCATCTACTGGTCTGATTGGCAAATGTCTATCTCCCCAGAGGGAGAAATGGGCTGCTATGTTTTCTTAGCTCCTAACTGCTGGCCGTAAGGTCATACCTTTTCTCCTGAATCGAATTCTGTACTGATCAATTTCTTAAAATTTTACGGTATAGCCTTTCTGATAGAGAGCTACATGTCCACAAACTTACATATTTTACAGGCTCTCAATGTAATTTTTAATAATATTGAGAAATGTAGATAATTGTTGCATAAGAACCCATCTACTGACCATCCAGTTTTGGTTTTGTTTTTTTGTTTTTTAAAGATGGGATTTCACCATGTTGGTCAGGCTGGTCTTGCACTCCCGACCTCAGGTGATCCGCCCGCCTTGGCCTCCAAAGTGCTTGAATTACAGGGGTAAGCCACCACGCCTGGCCAGTTTTGTTGAAATATGTAGCTTAGGCCGGGCGCGGTGGCTCAAGCCTGTAATCCCAGCACTTTGGGAGGCCTAGGCGGGTGGATCACGAGGTCAAGGGATCGAGACCATCCTGGTCAACACGGTGAAACCCCGTCTCTACTAAAAATACAAAAAAATTAGCTGGGCATGGTGGCACGTGCCTGTAATCCCAGCTACTCAGGAGACTGAGGCAGGAGAATTGCCTGAACCCAGGAGGCGGAGGTTGCGGTGAGCCGGGATCGCGCCATTGCACTCCAGCCTGTGTAACAAGAGAGAAACTCCGTCCCCCCCAAAAAATAAAATAAAATAAAATCACCACAGATCAAGCCCATGCAGTATCTTTTAAATTTATCAGCCCTGGTATTTGTTGTCCTCATAACATAACTTTATTATAACTGCATTCTGTTCAGCATTTTCTTTTCTTTCTTTCTTTTTTTTTGATGGAGTCCCTCTTGTGGCCCAGGCTGGAGTGCAGTGGCATGATCTTGACACATTGCAACCTCTGCCTCCTGGGTTCAAGCAACTCTTCTGCCTCAGCCTCCTGAGTAGCTGGAAATACAGGCACGCGCCACCACGCCCAGCTAATTTTTGTACTTAAAGTAGAGACGGGGTTTCGCCATGTTGGCCAGGCTGGTCTCAAAGTCCTGACCTCAGGTGATCTGCCTGCCTCGGCCTCCCAAAGAGCTGGGATTACAGGTGTGAGCCACCACGCCTGAACCTGTTCAGCATTTTCTTAAGGTCCTTTTCTTCTCATACAGGTCATGTCTTAAAAATCTGTGGTTAGCTCTTTCTTGGTGTGGTTTCAGCAGTCATAAATCATTCAAAGCCTGTTGTCTTGCCCTCAGGCACCAAAGTGAGTTCTGACGAAGATGACGCCTGGTGTGGTCTTGTGAGTTGACTAGTTTTCTCTTAGTATTTTAGGTGCTGTTGCCTTTTTAGATGAAGAGCATCTTATGACCACTTGTATCTGTTAAGCAGTCCATCATGATTGACTTCCCAGTCTGGATCATTTATGAGTCATTCATGATGGCTGCTGGATGTCAGGCAGCCAGAAAGGAAAAGTGCAAATTTTACTCTATTGATTGCTTTTTTGTTATTTTTTTAGGTCGTAACACACTACAGATACAGTTAAAGCCCCGACATACCTCTCTCTAATCCCATTCTCTTATTCCCCTTCTCCAGAGATAAACTGTTATTCTGAATTTGGTGTTTATCATTTCCATTGCATGTTTTTTTATACCATTAACACATGTATGTACCCCTAAAAATATATCCTCTTGTGTATTTTAAATTTTATATAAATGGTCTTATTATTTTGTAACTTGCTTTATGACTACACAGTGAGATTTTCTGTTATGTTATTTTCACTGTTGTCAACTATTCCACTGTATGGCTATGCCACTCCATTCCCCTGTGGACGTTTATTTCTGTTTTTCATCGTTATAAACAATGCCTCTCATGCTCCACAGGTCCTAGTTTCTCTAGAAGTCGGATTTCTTGTTGATAGGGTAGATGAATTTTACCTGACATTGTTAAATTGCTCTTTAAAGCTGATGTGCCAGTTTACCCACTCTTTTTTTTTTTTGAGACAGAGTCTCACTCTGTCACCAGGCTAGAGTGCAGTGGCGCGATCTTGGATCACTGCAACCTCTGCCTGCCAGGTTCAAGTGATTCTCCTGCCTCAGCCTCCCAAGTAGCTGGGACTATAGGCACATGCCACCACACCCAGCTAATTTTTGTATTTTTAGTAGAGACAGCGTTTCACCACGTTGGCCAGGATGGTCTCAATCTCTTGACCTTGTGATCCACCCACCTTGGCCTCCCAAAGGGCTGGGATTACAGGCATGTGCCACTGCCCTCAGCCCAGTTTACCCTCACCAACCATGTAAGAGTTCCTGTCTCCGTATAATTGGTAATGCTTGATATGGTCATACTTATTTTTCTAACATTAATAAATTGATGTTTTGATATATACATCAGTTTTTGCGAGTTTGCTTATCACATGTGTATCACCCTTGCTGTAGTTTCTGGCCCTGCAGAGCTCAGAATCAGGCTGTGGGTGATGTAAAAATGATGAAAACTAAGCTACAGACTGGAGAAGTATCTGCAAACCATATATCCAACAAAAGATGAGTAGAATCTAGAATATGTAAATAATTCTCAAAACTCAACAGTAAAAACAAAATCCATTTAGAAAATGGGCAAAATACCACAGACAGAGACTTCACTGAATGTAAGACGGCAAATAAGCCCTTGAAAAGATCTTCAGGCCAGGCATGGTGGCTCAAGCCTGTAATCCCAGCATTTTGAGAGGCTGAGGTGGCTGGATCACCTGAGGTCAGGAGTTCGAGACCAGCCTGGCCAAAATGGTGAAACCCATCTCTACTAAAAACACAAAAAATAGCTCGGCGTGGTGGCAGATGCCTGTAATCACAGCTACTTGGGAGGCTGAGGCAGGAGAATCGCTGGAACCCAGGAGGCAGAGGTTGCAGTGAACCAAGATTGTGGCACTGTACTCACGCCTTGTCAACACAGCACGACTCCGTCTTAAAAAAACAAAACAAAACAAAAAACAAGAAAAGATCTTTATCATTAGCTATCAGGGAAATGTAAATTAAAACCACAATGAAATATCCCCTGCTATAATAGCTAAACTGAAATATAGTGACAACAGCAAATGAGGACAAGAATATGGAGAAGCTGGGTTACTCATGCATTGCTGATGGGAATGTAAAATGGTAGGCACTCTGGAAAATTTCAAACAACTGACGCATGCCATTACCCTATGATCAAGCAATTGCAATCCTGGGCATTTATCCCAGAGATATGTAAACTTATGTTCACAGCAGCTCTGTTTGTAATAGCCCACAAACTGAAAACAACCCAGGGGTCGTTCAGTGCACGAATGGTTAAATAAAGAGCACATCCATACCATGGAATACTACTCGGCAATAAAAAGGAACAACAGACAGTACACGCAACCTAGATGAATCTCCAGAGAATTATGCTGAGTGAAAAAAGCCAACCCCAAAAGATTACATACCACAATTCAATTTACATAACATTATTGAAGTGAGAAGATTATAGATGTGGAGATCAGAGCAGTGGTTGCCAGAGGATAAGGGCAGGGGAAAAGGAAATGCGATGAAAGGGCAGTGGGAAAAGGGCAACATGAGGGCTCCTTATGGTGATGGAAATGGTCTGTATCATTAGTGTCTTGGTCATGCATGCTCTGGTACTGTAGTTTTTGCAAGATATGACTCCTGGGGGCGAGTGGGTAAAGGGATACATGGGATCTCTGTTTTCTTATAACTCTGTATTAACCCACAAGTATCTTAAGATATTTTTAAGCCAATAATTCTGTAAGTTCTTAATAAAAGTTAATGAACACAAACTAAGAATTAAGGTAAGAATTTCAAATATCAATCAGGACTGAAAAAGGCAATACTAGCCTTGGCCTTTTTTTTTTAAATTTTTTTTGAGATAGGAGCTTTGTCCATCATCCAGGCTAGAGTATGGTGGTGTGATCATAGCTCACTCATTGCAGCCTTGATCTCCTGGGCTCAAGTGATGCCCTCCCTCAGCATTCTGAGTAGCTGGGAC